TGGCTACTCAGCGTGTGAGTCAGTGATAACTGAATTTCTGAAACCAGCCACTATCATCTCACTCTAAAATAGCCTCAGGATTATTGTATAACCAGATAGTGGATACATTATGACAATGCCAAAGGATGTTTTACCATCTTGTATATTCATGAGTGGCCGACCAAATAGCAGGTGGGCCCTTACCAACAGAATACACTCCTTTGGAACAGGGGTGGCATTTGTCTCATGGTGAGCTCCTGCAGAGCTCAGTTCTTGGACCCCTACAGGTGTTGACACTGGGTGGGCTTGCGTCCCTGCATCATCATGCTGGGCTGGGCTTGCGTTCATTTGTAACTCAGTTACCATATCAGGGGGCTGCCTCGGGGCCGCCAACGATTGAATGGGTTGCAGGTGCCTAATGCTGCCACTGTACTGGAAATCCATCTAAGCAAGAGCCTGGTCTCTTTTAGTGTGTCTTGTATGTCTGATCTCTTTGTTCAGGCTTTTTGGAGATGCTTGAAATCACCCTGGCAATTGTCTGCTGGCTGATACTACTTGCTTGTCTCCAATTCTTTCAGGCTAGTTAGTTTTGCATGTGGGAGGCCCTCAACTGGTGAAAATGTTATTTTCTCTTGATCCCAACAGTTTTCTAGTACCTAGGCCAACTTCTAGTATTAGGTAATAGTAATGATGATGGATACCTTTTAGAAAAGGCTTGTAATAATGATCTTTCTAGCCACCTCAAACACAAATGTCTTGTCTTTCATTTCATGGGTTTAAAACATATAACAAATGTGGCATTAACTTACTGTGTCTCCTTTGTTCCTTTTGTCATTGCTGTTCACATTTTACTTCTCTGTCAGTCCAGCATGGTCTTGTACCTCAGGCTTCACTGTGCTTCAGAATTTGTCCAATTTGTGTATAATTTTGATGACATTTCCTATAAAAACAAATTTTTCCAAAACATTTTTTTTTCTGAATTTCCATTTTGTGGGAAATTTTGTAAAGATTTGTTTTTGGTCTAATTTGGAATGTCAAAATTTTCTGTCAGACAATAATGCTGAGTTTTGACCAGCTCTGCTTACAAACTAAAGAAGACAAAACAGACAGATGGAGGGTTAGAGGAAGTGGAACAAACAGTGGCTAAGATGGCCAAGTGGTGATGGTACAATGAGTCACATCTAAATAGTATAAAATCTTGATGACACAATGTTTTGTTTTTTAAACGATATGTATATAGAGATGGCCCCAAATTGCCCAACAGCCATGCTGTGATATTAATTATAAGCCTCACTGTAGCGGGGGGGTCTTCCGGAAGTTGAGACAAATTTGTAACCCTTGCAAAACAATTCATGTGGGCCCCTCTCAGCAGAACCCAGGAGACAGTGTATAACCTCCTCCAGCCAGCTCTGTCATGCCATGCAGGGGAAGGTTTTGCATTTGTAGCATTGGGGGCAAGTACTATTTAATTATTTATTTTTGCAAAATAGATGAAAATCAACTGTGATGGAAAGGGCACCCCAAGTCCTCTGCACCACTTACTTCCTGCACAGGTAACTGTTGGTGTAGCAGTAGGGGAGCCCTTTACACAAATCCAGTGGCCCCAATACCCTATGCAGCTGACACAGAGGGGTGGTGACTGCTCTTCCAGCCATTGCCCTACTCCTATTTCAAATGGGAGTAGGTCAAAGTGCACCAAGGAACTTCTGGTGTGTGGTAGCAGGGTCCACACAGCCAGTTAGTGTATGAACGCTCGTACACTAAAGATACACTCCCCAGTTTGTCACGCACTAACTTGCCATCTAGACAAGACCTTTGTGTCCTTTAGTCCTTAGCTTTGTGTGCTGGGCTATTCTTCGAAGTGCAGACGCACTCTCTGAAGTCCTTCTGTTGCTTTGGGGCTCCCGACTGGAATGTGCTTTACAACATTGGAGGCATGGAGATCCCACATCCACATCATCTATTCATTTTATGCATTTGTAATGTGCCAACCACAGTGTCATCCAGGCCCCCAGTCCTGCAGGAGCACATGTGGTTGGACCTTTGTGTTACATGGGGCCCCTTTCAGTTCAGTGAGGCTCTGCATAGGCACAGGTTTGCTCCCATGCAGTTCCTTAAAAGAGTGGGGCCTAGGTGCCACATGGATCCTTCATCAGAATAGGGGTGTGCTATTCTGTTGCAATGAGAGCTGGGTGGTGTATAGGACTAGGACGAAGATAACTTCATGTTTTAATTTGCCATTATCCTGATTCAGACCCTTCTGAGGTCTCCCCCACCACTGTGTCCCAGAGAACCAATGAAAGAATAAAATGGAGCAGCCAGAGCCTTCTTTAGAGACACACTCAAGAGTCTAAAAAGGATCCTTAAAAATACATGCACTCATTTTGAGAAAAGAATAGCACCTTTGAAGACAACAGAATACTACACAAATCCCCAAAGTTGTTTCCAACCCACACAGTTCCTTCAGGGAAGTCGTTGAGCACAGAATCTAGCCATCGGTTTCATTTCTGCCTCCTCCTCCTCCTGGCTTCAAGGAGAGCTGATTGGGAAGTTCACAGGTCCTTGTTTCTGTGAAAGCATCCTTCCTCCTCTCTAGAGCTGTGAATCACTGGAGGATGTGCTCTCACACTAACACAGCCCAGGTATAATCAGAACTTGTTTGTTGCTATGGTAGCTTTATTTAGCTTTTTAAGGCTATTTTGGAAAGACAAATGCTGTAATTGCTAAATCTGTTCTAATTCAGGCATCACAGTGTGGCTGCGCCCCACACCTTCTTGGGACATGAAGGGGTTAACACGCTATACTGGGACCAGAGAAGACAAAAATCCCTGTCCTGCAGAAACTGCCCAAACTGCCAAGCCTGGAGGGGCCCAGCTGAGGCTGATTATGAACAGGAAATAAAAGGAGAAGCTGGGTTAAGCCAAGGGGCTTTTCAGGATGAAGGGACTGAGCCACTTTTTAATCTGGAAGCAGATGAAGCTATGGGCTGCTAAGCTGTGGAGCAGGGTTGGCAAGGGAAGCCTCTTAGTTCTTAGATAGCAAATAACTGAGCAAAGGGTTCGAGTACACCACCAGGAATAAAATGTGTTTCCAGTTTTATTTGGGGAGTAAGAACTTGGGTTTATTTTTAGTCATTTACCTAATTCTCTCTGACAGCAAGAGACAAGCAGTGTTTGTGCGGAAACCAAGGACTGTTCAGCTGATCTTGGTGTGATGTACTGGCTTTATGTATGTGTATTTGTGTGAGATCCTCTAGTAACTGGTCTATCAAGAGGCTAAGGGTATATATACACAGCAATTAAATACCCCTGGCTGGCCCAAGTCGGGGCTTGGGCTATGGGGCTGTAAAATTGCAGTGTAGACATTCGGGCTCGGGTTGGAACTCGAACTCTGGGGACTCTGCAAGGGGGAAAGTCCCAGAGCCCAGGCTCCAGCTGAAGCTCCAGGCTCCAGCCCGGCAGCCTGAGCCCTGTGAGCACAAGTCAGCTGACATGGACCAGCCGCGCCTGGTGTTTTATTGCAGTGTAAACATATCCTAAGGGACCTGCTACAGTTAACACCAAAGGGAGATCTATTTTAGCTCAGGCAATAGAAGTCTGATTTCCGGAGATGAGATTTTGTTGCTCGGATGTGTAGTTTATTGCGTAACTGATTATTCACAGCACACAGGTAGTACCACACCTTAAGTAAGAGATGACCAGTTTATTTATTTCTCCGGTAATGGAAATTTTTGGAGGTATGCTTCTGGATTGAAGAACTTGGTAGCCCGGGCAATGTCTAGGTCGTAGGGGACACCTATTTTAGTCGGAGGTGTTTCAACTAGTGAAGGCCCTTGGGATTGTTTTTCATTTGGTATGGTTGGTTGGTTGAAGGCAAGGCCATCCAATAGGATTTTAGCGGCAAGGTTTGTCATGGAAGCGAGCTGGACATAGGGAACATTTCCGTGTGCTACTAACGCTGCTAGATGCGATTTTGATGGTTTCTTCTCCATGTCAGTTTGTTCTGACTTTTGTAACCATGTAGGAGTCTTGTAGAGAGGGCTTAAATTTAGGGGGGGAAAACCTATAAATACAACTCTTTCTGTGAGAGACAAGGTGGGTGAGGTAATATCGTTTATTGGGCCAACTTCTGGTGGAAGGTACAAGCTTTTGAACTTTTTTTGTATCCATTTTTGTGATACCTTCTGGGCAGGTTACAAAAATTTAAAGTCAGTCTCCACTGTGGGTTTTCCACAACATAGTCATTGTGTGCACATCCACACGCACCATGCTGCCTAACTGTTTGTATGTGGGCTGATATCCCATACTTCCTCAGAGGTCTACCCTGTATAGCTTTATTATCACTGAGCACAGCTGTGACTCATTGAGTTAACTAACATAATGCTGAGTACTGTTTAGCAGGCAACTAGGATAAACTGTGTTCAACATAGCATCAGCTAATTATGTTTAAACCCTGATCAGAGCAAGGTTTAATCACAATTAGCTGTCAGTATGTTGAATGTTTTGTCCCAGTTTATACTTTGCCCGTTAATTTGTGTTGAGCACTGTCAGTTAACATGGTTATTCACAACTATATTCAGTCATGGTAAAACTGCATAGTGTAGATCAGGTCCCTGAAACTTGAACACAGTTGGTGAAACTGGGTTTAACAGGTCCACCGCATGGATGGAAAATGGAGGACCATCTCGGAACACAATGGTTATTTATCAGGGGGCACTGTTAGTTCAGAGATGCATTCTTTTGATGAGATCTCGGGGCAACAGTTGGGGAATGGTTCTTTCTGAGAGAATTGAAGATGGCTTATATCTCTTATCCTGATATTTCTCTGCATTGTTAAAGCCAGGGAGGAGAGGATATTCAAGTCTCAAGCAAGAAATTGTAACTTTTTCTATGAGTTTTTTGCTTTACCTTTTGGGTGGACCTCAGAGGCAAAATACCTAAACAGAAAAAAGAACATAAAGGACTCTTTTTCATATGACTTTATTGAGAAGCAGATGGACATAATAGCATATAAGTAGGGTCGTTCACATGTCATTAAAAAGGACGTAAAAAACAAAAAAGCTAATCCAAAAAATCGAAGACTGGAGTGCTGTTACTCCAGAGAACAGATATGACACAAGGATTGCTCAAATAGCAGGTGGAATACTTCTGTTCACATTCTTGGGTCTCTCTTTCATGGATTTATTAAAAAGAGTCTACACAGAAAGTGCTGGGGATGTTCTATCCCCATTGAGCACTACAGGGCTACAGTGAGGTTATGCTGTAGCTTCTATAAAAGTATGTGGATGAATGCTGCAATCGGGATGTCTGAAGAGGCTTCCACATCATGTAGGCCTTTTCCCTACTTTCCTTATGTCTTCCTGAACATAAATAATTTGGTTTTCTTCACCGTTAATAAATGAGCTGGTATCTGCAGCTTTTTGTGACATTATATTGTATTGATTGCAAATGTTAAGTGCATAATACTGAATGCATGTTGAGAGTTTAACTGTTGGGTGGGTGCCTTCCTGACCTTGATATTGTAATAGCCAATGTAAGATATTGGAAGCTTAATTTCTTTTTTAAATGGCCCTGTGCTAAGTACTGAACTGTACTGAATTTGGAAGGGATAATGTGAGGCACTCCCTCCTCCCCACCAGAGACTGAGTGCAATATAGTGGTTCCCAAGGCATATATTTCCAAGAGTAAGACCTGGGCAGTGCCAGTGCCCTCTTCTCCTAATGCAGTAACTGCAACTCCTCTCCTCTGGTATAATGTTGGCCTGCCTCTCATTTAGTTAAACTAAGGTTGCTCCAAATCCCATATCATGTCAGACAGAGCAAAATTGAAATCTGGGACAATCGAAGTCTATCATTGGATCCAGCATGTATAAAATGAGACAGACATTCGTTGCACCAAGTTCAGGTCGGAAAGGGTTCTGTGGTTGGAACTCCCTGCCTAGTGTCAATCACAAAAGCCATCGCTCTAGCAGGCATGCCCGTGTTTGGGAACCACTGTGCTAAGTCCCCTCCTGCCTCCAGTAGCCGAGGAAAAAAGGGCAGAGTTCAAGCACCAAGCTCTGATCTCCTCCTGCTAGACAGCTCACTGGGCAATGCCTGTTTCATTCAGGTCTGTAGTTAGTGGACTAGAAGGCTTTTGAGTGTTTAAAACTCTTGCTATTTTAAAGCAGCCATATATTATAGAAACAAAAACAAATGGAGTACAGTGAATGTCATAGGATAAATTACCTCTTGGGGTTCTAGTGACTTCCTAAAAGCAATAGATTATAAACAAGAATAGCACCCGAACCTCTGAGTGGAATTATTTCCTTCAATCTCACTGTAGATGTAGAATATAACTAACTTTCTTAGCTACAAAGCTTGCACTATTTTGGTGATCTGCCCCTTTAAATGAACTGGTTCTGATCCCTTCTTTGCTTTATATGGGGAAAAATTATTTATTTTTTATGGTAAAATCAGCACAAGCAACGGTGAGATGATCTCCATTATACAGCTTCACTGAAACTGTGTACTCTCCCTGTGTGAAACAAAAGCAAAACATTAGATTAGCACACAAATAGTACAGAACTGCCTCTCTTCATAGGAGAGAGACCCCTTTTTCATTAAAATAGTTATGCCCCTCCTTGAAAGCTCTTCCAGTCCAAATATGTTTCAATGGCGGTAAAAGGTGTGGCCCATTTTTCTTGCCAAATGTCCCTCTTCGTACATATCAAATGTTGATAGCGCAGCAAATTCAAAATTAAAACATGGTGGTAAATGCTTCCATAGGGAAACAAAACTCTTTGATATTTAAAAATTCCTTTCAGGTCCATGCAGTTTTTTTTTTGCTTTTTCTGAAACAATTGCACCTTGGCTTTTGTTATTAAGGCTTTCTCTTTACTTTGCAGCTGCTGTGTAATCAGAGTGGGAGAAATGTTCTTTTGACTGGGATTCATCCCACTCTAATCTTATTGTTCAAATATTGCACTATTATAACTTCAGATGAATTTTCACAGACGTTAACATATTAATTGGGTATTTTAAAAAAAAGCATCATCTGTAGAAACACAGGACACAGACACAGAACTTGCTGTATTTTAGTTCCAACAAAACAGGTGGAAACAATAATGCTTCCTTCTGGGGACAATTTCACATCAGCACTCTGCCCAGTGTAGAAGAGAAACTATGCACGGTCTAAATGTGTAGACCTGGGCTTAGGGGACATCCTAATTTAATAGGTCAAAATATCTGTCTCCTCCTAACAGTCAGAAGTATTGGGAAAGTCAGGTGGCTAAGCTCACTTAAGAGATTGAGAGGAGGACTTAATACAGAAATTTGTTTTAATTCTGGATTTTTGAGCCACATTTGGTCTTCTCTGCAGAAACTGGGCAGGAAACCTACCAGAAGTGTGGAGGCTCGGGGGAGCAGTGCTGCCTTTGGCCTCCACCCATAGAAACCTCTCTGGGTGTTCAGGGCTCTCTGGCTTTGAGGCGGCGGGTGTGTGCATCTAGTAATTGATTGCGTTCCTGGGGATTCTCCTCTCTGTACCATGTGGATTTCTGCAACAGTAACTGGCCTCTTCCCCCTTGAACCTCTCTTTGGGGACAGTACAGTGTAGGTTCCGGAGGAGGCCCCATGACAACATGGTTCCTGAGTATATAGCCTTGTTTGTATTGGATTCCATAGGCGCCAACTCCGTGGGTGCTCCGGGGCTGAAGTACCCACGGGGAAAAATTGTCAGGGTGGGGCCAGGGGCGGGGGGCCGCGAGCACCCACTGGCGCCAGGGAAAATTGGCGCCTATGCTGGATTCCACTGAACAGAGTCTCTCAGAGACAACTCATATCTGCTGTGAGTGGTAGTGGGGGGCAAAATTTAAAGGTTTGGCCACCCCCAAAATAGCTCGAGTCACTGCCCTCCTCCCCCTGAGGCAGGTCCCTCCCCCTTACTCTCAGTCTCCCTGCCTGGAAAGCAGCAGCCCCTCCCTGCGGCTCCCAGCTGCTGCTTCTGGCTCTCCCCGTGGGGCGCAGCTCATGGGCTCCAGCAGCTGCCGCGCAGGGAGGGGGGCTCAGCCGCACCATGTAACTGAGCGGGGCCGGCAAACCTTGGTAGAAATCTGGGGAGGCACGTGACCCTGCATGCCTTCTCCCCATGCGTCGCCTCTGGACCCTCTTGAGGTGGCTGATATTAGATCAATGTTTATAATAATCAGAGCCAGATTCTGCCACCCATATACATATTGAGTAGTACCTTATTCCCCATGGGTCAGAGTGGAAGAATTAGGCCCTTATTAGGTAATTGAGGTTGGTTTCCTGTTCTGTTACTTATAAATGTATTAATTCTTCAGTGCTCTATAGTCTTTTGCATGGATTTGCAGGTCACAACAGGCTGTTGTGACCTGTCCCAATTGTTCTAGAATGACTGGATTTCTTTAAACTTTATTATAACTTTTTGATAATTTGGAAAACTGAATTTTTATAAATAAAAAAATCTGAGAAGAATGACTGTCTTTCTTATTTAGGTCTGGATTCCCTAACTCTCACACGGCCAGATTCTTATAGAAGGTTTTCTTAGATAATCTCATTGTCCCATCTGACCTTAAAAATCTATGAAATATATATCCTTACTCACATTAAGTACCTTATTGTAGAAGTGGTCTCACTGAAGTCAGTGGGACTACTTATGGGCCAAGTTGCTTATCAATGTCTCATGGAGTTATATACTAGTCAACATGAGCAGAATGAAGCGGTAGTAGGTCCTTGACTGCTTAATGGGATTGTACACTTTAGTTTTGGTGGCCATGATTCTCCCCACCTGCAAGTTCTTAACCAATGGCCACTCTGAGCTAGACCCCTTTGCCCCCTTCCACTGGCCTCCTCAACTCTTTGGCAAATGGTCGGTGTCTTTGCCTGGCCGAGCACAGCGTTTAGTTGTGCCTGGGCAGGTAAACAGAGGCTAGAAGGCTTTCAGCATCTCTGGCACTGTGTGCCTGTCTGTTGAAATTCAAGCAGGAGATTGGTTCAGTATGGAGTATGCTACTTCCAAAGGCATAATGGATAAGCAGAGAAGGGGAGGGGGTAAAATAGGCCAATGAGAGTAGAAGGGAGGGACTGATGGGAAGGAAAAGAGGGGAGAGAGAGGTTGTGTCCTCTAGTCTAAACTCCTTTCACCTCCTCTCCACTTCTTCCTTTTTCCATTTCTTCCCCTTCCCCACTACCCTTGACTCTCATCTTAAGACTTCAGCGAGTTTAAGCTCCTTGCAGCAACTACTGGTATAGAAAGCATTGCTCCAGTGGTGCTAATGGTTCCTTGCAGAGGTGACCTTCCTCTTAGGAATCACCAGGAGGCGCTGCTTCCCTTGCTACCAATGCAAGAGTCAGGGCAGGGCAGTGTACTAGAGGGACAAACTGCAAATATGGGGAAAACTAACCTGCTGAATGTCCCCAGCCTCCAGTACTAGAAGAGCGAATCTGTTACTGTACTAGGGACATTCTGGTAGGACCATGTGGTGGTTCTTAAGGACATAAGACTTGCCATACTGAGTCAGACCAATGGTCCGTCTGTCACTGTATCCTGTCTCCAACAGTGGCCCATACCAGAGCTTCAGGTGAAGTGTACAGAACAAGGCAGTTGAGTCTTTCCCTCCTGGCTTCTGGCAGGCAGAGGTTTAGGGTCATCCCAAACATGGGGTTGCATCCCTGATCATCTTGGCTAATAGCCACTGATGGACCTATCCTCCATGAATTGACCTAATTCTTTTTTGAACCCAGTTACATTTTTGGCCATCACAACATCTCATGGCAATGAGCTCAACAGGTTAATTGTGCATTGTGTGAAGAAGTACTTCCTATTGTTTGTATTAAACCTGCTGACTATTAATTTCATACAATGATCCCACATTTGTGTATTGTGGGAAAGGGTAACTAACACCTCTCTATTCACTTTTTCCACACCATTCACGATTTAAGAGACCTCTACCATATCCCCCTTTAGTCGTTGCTTTTCTAAGCTGAACAACCCTAATCTTTTTAGTCTTTCCACGTATGGAAGCCATTCCACATCCTTGATCATCTCTATTGTCCTTCTGTGAACATTTTTCAGTTCCACTATATTCTTTTTGAGATTGGGCGACCAGAACCGGACACAGTATTCAAGGTGTGGGGGCACCTGAATTTATAGAGTGGCATTATGATATTTTCTTTCTTATTTTCTAGCCCTTTCCTAATGGTTGCTAACATTCTGTTAGCCTCTTTGTCTGCTGCTGTTCACTGAGCTGAAGTTTTCAGAGAGCTATCCACAGTGACATCAAGATGTCTTTCTAAACATTACTCTGATTATTAGCCATGGTGGCATTCTTTTAGTCCTCTTATTGTTTTTTCTGGTTGGGGGTAAACATTTATTCTGAACCTCTATTATGGTGTTTTAAAATGGTACCCCTGCTACTTGCAGGCATTTAACCCTTGTGATAGCTCCTTTTAATTTCCGTCTAACAATCATCCTCATTTTTGTATAGTTCACCTTTTCAAAGTTAAATGTTACCATGGTAGGTTTTGGGGGGCTTTTATCCCCTCTATGAGAATGTTAAATGTAAGTACATTATGGTCACTATTACTGATTGGTTCAGGCATAGTTACCTCTTGGCCCAGATTCTGGGCTCCAGTTCGGACTTAATCAAGAATTGCTGCCCCCCCACCCCCCCTTGTGGGTGCCAGGACTAGCTGCTCCAAGAAGCAGTCACTGTTGGTATCTAGAAATTTTATCTCTGCGTCATGCCTTGAGGTGACATTTACCCAGTCAATATGGGGATAGTTGAAATCACCCATTATTATTGCGCTTTTTGCTCTTAGGTAACTCTTAGATTTCAGGACATAACCACAGGGAACTTACTTGGGGGATTTCATGGATTCCCAGTGTGACAGGCCCTTCATAGTAGATATGTTCTGAAAAACAAATGGATGATGATTGTGCAATGCACAAAGGAAACAAGCAGCTGATAGTATGCACTATTTTATAGCAATACTTTGAAACCCTCAGTGACAAGTGCTCTAGGACTTAAAAAAGCTTTATGGACAACAACTCTCTGAGAGAAGTATAAAGGTATGGACCATCTTCTTAGTGTAAGAGAGATTATGCAGAGTCCCAGTGTAATCACTGCCCATCTGAGTAAAGTTGTGCAGGTACTTCAATGTCTGCAGAATCCGGGCCTATAATTCCTGTCTAGTATTTAGCAAAACTAAACAGAACAGGGTTTTGCAGTATTTTTAAAATTTTGAGTCATTACTCGATGCAGCAGAGAAGCCTCAGACTCTAAGGCTCCTGCTTCATGCGCAGAAGTGAGCAACCATGGCAACAGCTCTTTGAAAAGGAAAATGCTTCCCATGGCACAGGTGAAGCAGCTGGAGAGTCCAGGCCATGAGCCAGCTGTAGTCTAGTGAATTGGATTTAGGGTCAGCAGCTAAAATATCCTGAATTCTAATCCCAGTGTTGATGTCGACATTTTGGGCCCCTTAGGCAAGTCACTTGCCCTCTCTGCCTTCATGTCCTCTTTTATTAAAGTGGGGTTTAAGCATTTGCAGAAGCAGAGGTGTAGATGGGAGCTGTCTTATTTGTAAAGTGCTGGTGTGGACAGTGCAGTGCAGAAAGCAACCCCTTTCTGTAGAATCTCCTGCAGTGGGTTGTGTTTGAGAAGGAAAATGCAGCAAGTGGGACAGGCAGCTTGGAACCAGGATCAAACTGCCCAACAAGACAACAGCAGAGGACGCAAGTGGAGGAAGTATGGGCTCTGAATCCTTCTCTAACAGTTGGAGATAGAGACTCTTCACAGATCACGTGAGTCAATGAAGTCAGCCCTGGAGTATTTCAGAACTGGCAAGAGATTGAAAGTGAAATGGCGGTGTCCTAGCTTTGCAAAGCCTATGTTTGAAACTGAATTAGACAAGATCATACAACACACATGCTTCTGAACGTGTGGGGATGCTAGTATCTCCCTGGTGAAGGTAGATGCTAATTTTTCTACTACACCATAAGTCAAACTTTGACCATCCCACCAGGGCTAGATTAAGGCAATCCTGGGCTGTAGATGTACTTCCCCCATTAGGAGACCCTGAGGTCCTGCCCATGCGTTGTGGCCACACTCTTGCTTGAGGTGGTAGCAGTAGGAGCTATTCCTAGGACTACTGTGTGTTGAGCAGAAACCACCACCACCAGTACTATTTTTTGGGGCATCTGGGGAAGCCGATCTGGAATTTAGTAGGGGGATAGGAGCTGTGCACCCCCGAGTTCTATTCTTTTGTGAGCTGGGTGAATATCACTTCCACTTCACAGATGGGGAAATAGACTCTTCTCCCCTTCACCAGTAGGTGGGCCTCTGCTGCGGGGGATGAGAGCAGCTTTAATCTTCAGCTACTGGCGGCTCCCAAGAGATATTCTGAATCAATATGACCAAACCCCTAGCTGACCAGAACCACCCACTTTGGTGGCTGTGTTGTTTAAACCAGGACCCTGAACCCAGTGTGATTGCCTCTCCATGGACTTTACAGAGCTGGGGCTACAGCAGAAAACAGTGTCTCCCAAGGCTGAATCCAACTGAATGCATATCTTGCTTTTGGGATTCCAGTTTAACATAGTATTCTTGATACAGTACATCTTCCTAAACCCTTGCATTTACCTATCAGTGGGGAGCAAATGAGATAAATTAGTTGCAGTAATTATAACTAAGACAAACACTTAGCTTTGTGCATTGAATGCAAAGTATTGCCTCTTTGGAACTTTCCAGTCTGAGTTCACATAGGTTATATAGTGTGAAAGACTGATCTTATTTATGGGATCAATTCACAAATCATGGTAAACTTTCCAGTAAAAAATTTCCCCCATCTTCATATTTGCAAGATACTAATAAGTCACAGCATCTGTTAATGTCCCAAGAACACTGGCTGTTTTGCACTATCTTCCATGTTCAACCCTTCTCTTAAGGGCTAACATGACTGAAGAGGTTTTCTTCAGAACATCATAAAAAGGTCTCTAGGTACTGCTGACTTCAGGCTTTCTTTTCTATTTTGTGGATTCTTTTCACTCTTACTTCCTAACAAAAGTAATTTACTCCTTCTCCCTGCCATCAACAGGTCTCTAGCAATTTACAGTAGGAAGTGGAGCGGGTAAGAATTTCCTGAGAATTACTTCAAGTTACTTGTTCTTGTGAAGCTGCCTCTCATTTCTGACAAAACACCTATAATGAAATTCTGACGCCTCTTTCTCAACTCTTTCTTAGGCTGAAAATCTTTGAACATTCTCACACTTGTTACACTATATAAAGGCCCCAGTACATCTGCACCCACCTCTTCCTTTTCTGGGCTTTAAACCTTTATAGAATTTTTTTTTCTGTGTGAGTAATCATACAGTAATACTTAGCTCTTCTAGGGCCAGATCCTGCACCCATTCAACTCAATGGCACAACTGCCATGAATTCTGTTGGTTCAGAACTGATCTGAACAGTGCTCATCTATAAATATTGGAGCTGGGTGAGTATCTTTAACTCACTTTATGGGTGGGAAAAACTGAGGTGGAGAGGATGAAGGTCATATGGCAGATCAGACCAGAACCCAACTCTTTGGTGTAGCTGCTTGCTGAGAATACGTGTCCATTTCCTCACAATTGCACCCAAAAGAAATACCTAACTTCACAGCTCATATTCTGCAAGTGTAACTCATTCTACACACAAGCCATTACATGTGTATGGTCATTTGTAACTAAGGTCCGAGTTAAGGTTTTTTGGTTGAGTGTGATTGCAAGAAATTGGGTGTGTGCTTTGAGCATCCTATGTTGGATCTGAAAAAGTGAGTTTGTGCAGCCGCAAAAGTCTGTGAGTGTGTTTGGGCATTAATTGGGTAAGGTCTCTGAGTTGTGCTGGATGTGGATCCTAATGTTACCAGAATGGGTGGTTTTTCTGGTTTTTGTGACTGTGTTGATGGGCACTTGAGCAACCCTAACTCTTATGTAACTATTTTCTTGTGTGGGATATGAACGACGATCAGAAAAATTCCTCCCTAGAGAGAGGAAGCTCATCTCTAAACTTAATACCACAAAGACTTTAGCAATGATTTTTTTCACTACTAAAGTTCACCACTTTGCCTTCTTTGGAACAGACGAGAGTATAATAGGTTTAGATCTCAAAGAAACAGACATACGTTGTTTGGAATCATGTTTGAGAGCCCTCGTGAGCTTTGCTAGTCCAGTTGTGACCATTATACAATTTGTTTAAATAAAAGTAAAAAGATAGGTAACAAATACTATAATTGAAACGAAGATGTTGGTAAAACATCCATGTATGTTTGTTCTGACAAGACAGTTCTAATCATGGGTTGCTCATCTAGAAGTAAAAGATAATAGAGGAGGGAAAATGTTCTCTATTAGCCACCTTCGACTCCTCCTCAATTACTTTCCACTACACCCTCCTATCTCTCAGCCCCATATATTCCTAGTTCTCTCAAAAAAGATCCACAAGATCTATAAATGGAACAAACTATAAAGCCTGTGGCTTTTTTAGGAGCGGGGTAGGAGAAAGCTTTACAGTCTTTGTTCTCACTACAGTGGCCAACCAAAACCTGCTTGCAACTATATTGAGGAACTATTTGCAACTGAGGTCAAATAAAATTTGCTTTACAAATGTTACTCAATGTGCAATGAAGATGGGGCTCTAATTGACAAAATTCAGCCCTAAAAAGAGAACACTCTGCCATCTTCACACTTCCTTCACCTCATATTTGACAGCTCAAATTATGGCCCTCTCTACACAGGGCAATGGTCAAGTTTAACAACAATGCTAACAACTGGGCCATGTCTACACTACAGACCTTACAGTGGCACAGATGTACCGCTGCAGCTGCGCCGCTGTAAGGTCTCCCATGTAGCTGCTCTATGCGAGTGGGAGAGAGCTCTCCTGTCAACATAATTAAACCACCCTCAACGAGTGGCTGTAGCTATGTTGGCAAGAGAGCGTCTCCCACTGACATGGCGCTGTCTGCACCAGCGCTTTTGTCAGTGTAATTTATGTCACTCAGAGGGTTGTTTTTTCACACCCCTGAGTGACATAAGTTATATCGACAAAAGTTCTAGTGTAGACACAGCCTTCAAATGTGGCTGTGTTGAGCTGCTCCATGTGGGGCTGGAGACCAAACTGCATTACAACATAGTGTAAAAATGTACATTGACTATCTAGAAATACCACATCTCAATTTTGGAGCCCCATCATCTACCAAACTTAACCCCTTCCCTCTGTGGATTGCTTGGGAAAGTCCTGGCTACCCAATGAAGGTGGCTATTAAACAACATGGCTTCTATTAACAACTGTGTGATAAGGTTCCGTCATTAATTGAGGGCAGCTTCTAAATGAAGATACATGGCATTATTTAAACAATCAAGTGTTGTTTTATATCATGATGTACTTCAATTAGTGAAAACAATCTCCCTGCCAGGCTAAGATTAAGGATCTGCATACCCCAGAAGGGTTTGGCTGTGTGGCTTAATGTGTAAACAGCAGCTTGTGCTGGGCTCAGGATCGACTCTAGTTCTCCTTAATGCGTTTTCTGCAGGGAGTTATTAAGCACTTCGTCAGAAGAAGACAGTCTTCCAGTAGATCTGGGGGTGTCTTATTTTTTCTTTAATTCAATACACTATTGAGAAAGCCTCTGAATTTAATTTTTCTGTCTATCTGGTTTGCAGAATTTACATAATTGGTTGCTCGTGCAGTATTTCTCTGCTATTCTTTTTGATATCTCTGTACTGTGTGAAATGTCTTAGCAATTCCCCTGAGGTCATCTTGTCAACAGTGCAGTGTGCGGTCACCAAACCCACAGCCCTACAGGAAATGAATTATCATAGCGCTGATGGAGATGCAGGTGACTGGGGAAAAATAGCTTTCAAAACTAACTTACTAAACTGCCATTCTCTTAACTCCCTAGGAAATTGCCCTCCACCCGCCTTTCTTTTCAAATCAGCCCAAAGAGATGAGCATGGCATCAGGAAGAGTAAGAATTTATTATTATTAGAGATCCTTAAATAAAACCAAACACTTTAGATGGTACCAAAATGTATCATGGTCCAAATGCTGCAGTCTTTAATCCTTACTCAGGCGCAACTTCTATGAAAGGATTATGGATCAGTGAACAGGAGACACAACTTTTGAGATAGGAGACATTTCTCAAGTAATCTTGTTCATTAGCTCAGTCCTTGCTTTTACAAAAATAGGAGACAATCCTACAATAGTCCTCAGATATGCAAGCAGTCTTGCTGAAATAAGACTGCTACTGAACGTAAGGGGTGTAGGCCCAGGCTACTTATTTACATTATATATTGAGTTATAGATTATCCTTCTAAATTCCCCTTGAACTCTGATGTATATAGCACTCAGACCTCTGTGCTATTAAAACACAAGCTAGTGAGCCCGTTATGCAAAAAGAAGACTTTAAAAATAAAAGGACGCTCTCCTACTGTGTTTCTGTCATCCACTAACATTCTGTTGAAGTAAACAGAATGTTAGGAAGTAGTGGTACATTCAGCAGCACAGCAGGTGTGTCCTGCTTGCAGTGTTCAGCACCCATCAAGTGTTTAGTGTGCTAGGTAAAATTACCTCCTTTTTTCTTTCCACAGAAAATAAACCTTCGGCCATTCGGCTCACAGAGTTTCTGTGAGTAGGCTAGGATACTCTTCCCATTTATGATGAGATTAATGTCCATAGACAGTTCTTTGATGTTCTGTCCTACGCAGAAAACAGAAGAAGAGTTCAGGGGGAGAACTGTTTGGAAATTGAGCTATTATTATTTATTTTATAATGAATATATTAATTAAATGAATTAAATGATTAGTTTATTATTTATTTTAAAAAGATCCTATTCTTTTCTTATTTAGGCCCCAATTTCACTGAGAGTTCCTGAAACCATAGAACACTATGCGATACAGAAATTGCCCTGTAATGTCCCTGGTGGTAGATAACAAGACATGTAGTGAATGAAGAGTAGCTTCCTTTTGAGGCTACTGGATTCAAACCCTGCAGTCAGGGGTTGTGAACAAGCATGTGCAAGGATTGTAATATAACCCTCAAACTTGTCTCGCTTGTGACCCCCGAAAACAGACATGTCCCCAGACGTCTTAGTGCTGCACACGAGTGAGTGCAGGGCCAGTTTGGCCACAGCAGCTCAAGTGTTATTTTGCAGTGTGGCCGCTCTCACTCTCTAGCTAGGCTAACTCCAGAGGAGTAACTTTGAGTTAACTTTGCAGCGAAGACAATACCCAAAGGACAACCCCCTGCCCGAACAAGTTTACAATGTGAACAGGCTGACAAAGGGTGGGAGGGAAAACAAAGGCGTGGGGAGGGGTGAAGTGACTTGCTCAAGGTCACACAATCTATGCCTCCTGAGGCCCAATCTGTGTCTGAGCCCCTGGACCCTCGCATGAGAGCGATAAACCCTCTCATGTTTTATCAAAAGCATTTGGTTATTATTCATCAGACTCTCTTTAACACTGACACATGCACAATGAAGTATCTTATTTGTAACACTCAAAAACAGCACTTTACTTACTTAAGACCATTGCAGCTCTGATGTTAAAAGTATTCGTTAAGATATTGGAACAACCGTCGATGCTAAGAGCAAAATCTTGCACAGGATCTGTCAAAAGGTAACAGGCAATTGATTTTTACTTTTATTTCCAATGCATGGGAACTCTACTTCATAAAAAATAATGATAAAAGAATAGAATCCTTATGAAAATCAAGTCACACATATTTTCTTTGAAATCCTCCCAAACATAATCCCCAAACTCCGACATCGTGTGGCTAAAGGATTAGACTGCTCTGTGCCTATTTCACCGACATCACGCTAATCCCAACTACGTTCGCTTTCAGCCAGAATGTGGCTGGGACCTGCTGTGGGGAGAGACAACTCAAAATGGGAGTTCAGAGATGGCAATCAGGACTCAGTTGAAACAAGAGTCCTTGCACAGCTGCACTTTTCAGTGTCCCTAAACTCTCATTCCCTCTATCACAGTGACTTGTGCTTAATAATAGAACATACATGGAATATCAGGGGTGGAAGGGACCTCAGGAGATCATCTAGTCCAACCCCCTACTCAAAGCAGGACCAATCTCCAACTATTCCCCCCTCCCCGATCCCTAAATGGCCCCCTCAAGGATTGAACTCACAACCCTGGGTTTAGCAGGCCAATGCTCAAACCACTGAGATAATAATAATTAATACTATAATTATTATTTATTGTTCTATTTGTATTGCAGTAATGCCTAATAGAGCTGGCTGGGAAATTTAATTTAGGTATGTGAAAGTTTTTGGAAATTTTTTCATCCTGAATCAGGACAAAAAGCCAAAAACTCATTTTTTCCCCCGAATTGAAATCTGTTTGTTTTTTCAACATTGAAACATGATGTTTCTGAAATGAAAAATGCCTCCAAGCTGGATGCTTGGGAGCTGGGGTACAACAAACCCTGGCAGCTGCTGTCTGAAATTGACATGATTCTTGTCAGTTTTACTGCTGCCTATCACTGAATAGCAGCATGAAACTGACCAGACTCTTGTATAAATTGAAATCCTCTCCCTCCCCCTACATTCCTGCTTTCTAGCCATTAGGACCTGGCCAGTCCTTAAATTATTTAATACTTTAAGGCTTTGTCAACATATCCATTTCTGATGCTGGGTGTCGACAACAATTGCAGCTGAGCCAGTGCTGAACTGGTTTAACTGCAAGCATAGACTAGCGGTTCTCAAACTGTGGGTCAGGACTCAAAGGGGGACGCAACTCCATTTTAATGAGATCATCAGGGCTGACATTAGACTTGCTGGGGCCAAAGCCCCACCACCCGGGGCAGAAGCCCGAGGGCTTCAGCCCTGGTGGCGGGGCTCAGGTTACAGGCCCTCTGCCTGGGGCTGAATCCCTTTGGCTTTTGGCATCCACACCCAAGGCGGCAGGACTCGGGCAGGTTCAGGCTTCGGTCCCCCCTCCTGGGGTCGTGCAGTAATTTTTGTTGTCAGAAGGGGGTCACAGTGCAATAAAGTTTGAGAACCCCGGGCGTAGACCAAAACAAACTTGTTAAAAACATTTCAGAAACCATGGGTGACTTCAGGGGAAGTTGCCTGGTGAATGAAAATCAGGTCAGTTAGGTGCCTAGCTAAGGACTTAGGAGCCTAACTTTATGCTCCTATTTTTGAAAACCTTAGCCCAGGCTTTGTAGGTGACATTTTATTGAACTGAAAACGGTAGGATAGGGACAGTTTCACATCTTTGCAATTCTAGCGGGGCACCATTTATGGGGGCAGAGTGGGGCAGGAGCCCCCCCTGAGTTTCGTACAGGAGGTATGCGAGCTTCCAGGTGGAGCTCTTAGCTACAGCACAGCATTAGTGTGAAATGTAAGTTCTGCAGAGGAGATGTGCCCCTGGGGCAGGGTGTCAGTATTTTGTTTACAAACAGAGGGAGGGTGATTAAGATAAGGAAGGGCTGGTGATTAAATTAAGGATCTGGAAGTCTAGCCTGTAAAACAGGAATTCCTGGGGAAGTGGGTGGCTGGGAGGGAGGAGGTTGTTTTAGAGAGAACATAGGGGTCTCAGAAAAAATACAGCCAAGCCCTCTGAGCCAAGGTTACATTCAGAAAGGGTTCAGAGTAGCAGCCGTGTTAGTCTGTATCCGCAAAAAGAACAGGAGTACTTGTGGAAATTTGTTAGTCTCTAAGGTGCCACAAGTACTCCTGTTCTTTATTCAGAAAGGGGGAGATTTGGGGACGTATGTGAAAAGAAGGGGCCAAAACCAAGGGAAGGGATAGCAATGGTATAGAGAAGTTCCCACTATACCTGTGGTACTTATGTGGCCCCATCACCATAGTATCTGAGCGCCTCACAAGGTCTAAGCTATTTCTCCTCACAGCCCCTCGGTGCGGTAGAGCAGTGCTGTACATTGTACAGATGGGGCACTGAGGCACATTCATTCTAAAGGCCAGATTTTCAAAGGTATTTAGGAACCTAGCTTGATTTTCAAAAGTGCCTAGAAGGTTAGGTGCTTTGTAAACCCCACTAGATGCCTAGCTGCATCTTTGGGTGCCTAAAAGGGTTTGAGAGGTTTCAGAGTAGCAGCCGTGTTAATCTGTATCCGCAAATACTCCTGTTCTTTTTAAAAGGTTTTGAAGCTCTGTCTTTAACACACTGGCCTGAGATCATGCAGGAAGTCTATGGGGGGAGTAGAACTCAGGTCTTTCAGAGAAAGGCTCGTTTGCTGGATAAGGAGCTATCTCTCTGCTGCATGCTGCCAAAAAAAGAGGACTCTGATAGATGAGAGCAAAACCAAGGTGGCCAGTTCTCTGAGATTCCAGCAAATGGTCCCAGGAGGTTAGGATGGATGCCCTGGTTGACAGCATGAAAAGCAGCACAGAGGTCAGGAAGGCTGGAGAATGAGAGTCGGATGAGAGGAGATCACTTAACTCCCAAGAGGTGGCAGGTTCTGTCCCATTCTGGGTTGTAGAGCAATAGCTGCCGTGCAATTTTACATTTTAACTGAAAATCATTTTGTTTTGTCATTTTTTTGTTCTGAGTTCGAGAAAAGGAAGGAATCAGAAAGTGTCATAAAAGTATCAGATGTATTTATGCCTCAAATTCTTAGGGTTTCAGCTGTATCCAGGCCAATTCCAGAACAAAGAATAGAAATTACATCCACAGAGTCCATAAAGTTGATGATTATTATCATGATTTGTATTATTCACTGGGCACCATCTGTGTGCTCAGCACTGTTCAGAATATGCCAGAAAATGTAGTCCCTCAGCCAATGAGTATAAAATGTGTAGCCCTGGATAAGATGGCTCCGATATTTAAGTATGAAGTATATAGTTATTAAGCACACGTTAATATCTATGAGTGGAGGCACTGACGGCAATAGAAGTTTTACTGGATTAAGGAGTAGAAGATTTGACCCACCAACTTTCTTTCAAGAGGAAGAGCTGCCCAGAGCTCCTGTGCCTGTTTATTTTCCTTTCCTGCCTGCAGTGGCCCTGATAAACCTCAGAAGTCTCAATTTTTTTCTAAGCTTTAAAATGTGGAATTTTCTTGTTGTTTGGTTTTAAATATTCTTTTGTGAGAACTGCAACTCAATCACTGTAGTGTTGTGTTTAAGAGACTTTTGGAAAGTAACTAGCCTTTAAATAGAAATAAAAGCAGTGTTGCCAACTCTCATGATTTTGTCATGAGTCTCATGATAATTATTGTTTTCCTTAAAGCCCCAGCTCCTGGAGTCAAGTGGACATGTAATGATTTCAGAACATATGAACGGCCATATTGGGTCAGACCAAAGATCCATCTAGCCCAGTATCCTGTCTTCCAACAGCGGCCAATGCCAGGTGCCCCAGAGGGAATGACTTTAGCAAAGCTTTTGATACGGTCTCCCACAGTATTCTTGCTGCCAAGTTAAAGAAGTATGGGCTGGATGAATGGACTGTAAGGTGGATAGAAAGCTGGCTAGATCGTCGGGCTCAACGGGTAGTGATCAATGGCTCCATGTCTAGTTGGCAGCCAGTTTCAAGCGGAGTGCCCCAAGGGTCGGTCCTGGGGCCGGTTTTGTTTAATATCTTTATTAATGATCTGGTCGATGGTGTGGACTGCACTCTCAGCAAGTTTGCCGATGACACTAAACTAGGAGGCGTGGTAGATACACTAGAGGGTAGGGATCGGATACAGAGGGACCTAGACAAATTAGAGGATTGGGCCAAAAGAAACCTGATGAGGTTCAACAAGGACAAGTGCAGAGTCCTGCACCTAGGACGGAAGAATCCTATGCACTGCTACAGACTAGGGACCGAGTGGCTAGGTAGCAGTTCTGCAGAAAAGGACCTAGGGGTCACAGTGGACGAGAAGCTGGATATGAGTCAACAGTGTGCTCTTGTTGCCAAGAAGGCTAACGGCATTTTGGGCTGTATAAGTAGGGGCATTGCCAGCAGATCGAGGGACGTGATCGTTCCCCTTTATTCGACATTGGCGAGGCCTCATCTGGAGTACTGTGTCCAGTTTTGGGCCCCACACTACAAGAAGGATGTGGAGAAATTGGAAAGAGTCCAGCGGAGGGCAACAAAAATGATTAGGGGTCTGGAGCGCATGACTTATGAGGAGAGGCTGAGGGAACTGGGATTGTTTAGTCTCCAGAAGAGAAGAATGAAGGGGGATTTGATAGCAGCCTTCAACTACCTGAAGGGGGGTTCCAAAGAGGATGGAACTCGGCTGTTCTCAATGGTGGCAGATGACAGAACAAGGAGCAATGGTCTCAAGTTGCAGTGGGGGAGGTCTAGGTTGGATATTAGGAAACACTATTTCACTAGGAGGGTGGTGAAGCACTGGAATGCGTTACCTAGGGAGGTGGTGGAGTCTCCTTCCTTGGAGGTTTTTAAGGCCCGGCTTGTCAAAGCCCTGGCTGGGATGATTTAGTTGGGAATTGGTCCTGCTTTGAGCAGGGGGTTGGACTAGATGACCTCCTGAGGTCCCTTCCAACCCTGATATTCTATGATTCTATGATTCTATGAAAGAACAGGTAATCATCAAGTGATACATCCCCTGTCACCTATTCCCAGCTTCTGGCAAACAGAGGCTAGGGACACCATCCCTGTCCATCCTGGCTAATAGCCACTGG